AGTCGAGGTGCTTCCACTCCGACGGGGCCTGACCGCTCCACGGGCTGTACGCCGCTGTGAGAAGCAGGAAGGGGAAGACCCACCACTCAGGCACCTTCTCGCCCTCGAGCTCGCCCTCGAGCTCGCCCTCGTCCCCGCCCTTATCCTGCTCTCGCTCCTGCTCCCGGCGGATGTTGGCGGCGGCGGCGGCGGCCAACGACATCGGCGTACTTCCCTGTTCCTGGCGGACCTCAATCTCAGTCAACGCCGCTTGCGCCGCCGGTCCCTGACCTGCAGGTGGACTCCCTGCTCTGTCAACGCTCTCCCCGGCGCCCGCCCCGGTAGCGGGGGAGCCGGCTGGGGAGCCGGCGGCGTCGACGCTCCCCGCCGCCCCCAGAGAGAGGAAACCCGCAACCTCAGCGTCTGCCTTGTCCGATCTAGCCTTGTCCCGCTTGTACATGTCCGACTCGAACCACATGGCGTCGTTGAGCTCCTCTAGGGAGTNAAGAGGAAACCCGCAACCTCAGCGCCGGCCTTGTCCGATCTAGCCTTGTCCCGCTTGTACATGTCCGACTCGAACCACATGGCGTCGTTGAGCTCCTCTAGGAAGTCCTGAGTGTTGGTCCCAGACAGCTCAGACGGTGTGTTCTTGTCGTTCCTGACACAAAAAAAAACGCGCAGGGAACAAAACGGATTCGCTGTGAGCGGTTACGTACTATACAGCAGTGTTTTCGACAACGCGTAGCAACAAGTTTTCAACCTTTAGTGTTGCTGCTGTCCCGGCTTCGTTATTTTTTGTTTACGACGAGGCACGCCCAACTACGTCATGTCATTCATTTTGCGCAGGGCAAAACTAGAGGTTGGGAAGTACAAGCTATATACCAGCAGTAGGCTGGTGCGTTTCGAGTCCTGGGGGGGGTGGCAATCATCTAGCAGAAAAACAATATGTGCCCTTTATCTAAACGTTTCTTTCCTTGCTGTTTTTGAATTGGCAACTCAAAGGCACGCGTGTGATAGGTGAACAGACTAGCAGGGAAGACACACCACAGCAATAGGCCCTCGCACAAAAGTATCGAGAGGTGCACAGCAGTGCATGCACGTCCGATGGTGGCGTCTAGTAGCGTGTTGGTGTGGCTCTCTCTTCCAAGAAGGGCCTCTCTCGCTGATTCATGCGAAAAAAAAAACGCTGCTGGCAAAAAGCGCGCAACAACAACGACGAACAACAACCAAACGCTTCTTCGCTTCTCTCTTCTCTCGCTTACTCCACCGATAGCCAACAGCAGTAGTACAGGGCACACCCTCCCGTCTCGCTCTCCCGGTGGTGTGTCTCCCTCCTCCCTTGTCCATGTCTCTGTCGCTGTGTGTTTGTATTTTAATATTTGGCATCGACCGCGCTAACCGGCTGACCAATGAAAGTGCGTGTGTGTCTTCATCCTCCCGTTTTGTGTAGACTACTTAACGACAAACACACGCACGCACACACATGCTTGACCAACACAGGCATGAAGAACCCTCGTGATTTTACGAAGATCCTCACGTCAAGCACCGTCGATTTTGTTTTCCACACACGAAATTAGGGTTGCATTGCTTTCGCCTCCCGGTTTTCGGAGTGTGCAACGCCACGAGAGAGGGAAATACGCTGCGCTGAGAATCCGACTTGCCCGCAAACTCACGTGTCAAGCCAGAGCCACACTCTCGTGTACTCGGCCTTGTGGCTCTTTAACTTGGTCAGGACGGTCGACGGTTTCTCCATGAAGGTCTTCTCCTTGGAGGTGCCTGCGATATATTTCAAACGGCAACAGCGCGTGTGGGAGCGAGAGGAAGTCCGCTATTTGTGTGCATTTTTGTAGGCGGAGCAGCACCTTGTCTCGTGGTGAACGTCTCGTCAACGTGTGCCCTCTTGCCTCTGATTCAGGCATGGCAGCGAGTTCGTTCGGGGCTGGAATGTCTATACAAGCAGAGGTGTTGTCGACTAATGGTGCTGTTTCCGCTGCTGCTGCTGCTGCCGCTGCGGCGGCGGCGGCGGAGGCGGAGGCGGCTATTTCCCGCTGTTGCTGCTGCGGGTGGTGTCGGTGTGTGTCTATCTGCGTCTCCACCCACAAACAAATCGCAGACGTCCCGGAGACTCATGGCTTAGACTCCCCCTTTTTCGGAGAGTAACGCCCAGACATCTAACACGCATCGGCCGCAAACCATAAACCACATGCATGCATGGAGACACCGTTGGAGGGAGGTGAATGGTTTCGCGAATACTACCGCTGTTGCCAGCAAAACGAACCCTGACTCCAACCCGTGTTGCAAAAGGTGGCTAGAACTACCCATAATCCTCACATAGCAGGTGGCAGGTGGATCGCTGGTACTGCCACTCACGAACACCACACGTGGTGCACCTGCAACCGCTTGATGACAATTATCTACACTCCTCTTCAGATAATATATGTGCGTCGTACATGCCAAAATGCCAGCTCCGGTCCAATCGACCTCTCCCACAACACCTGTATTTGTCATCGGCGGACAGAGAAGGCCCGCAAGTGCGTCCTTTCACTCGCATGTCATGCCTACTCTACTGCTGTGTTCACGAGTACGTCTGCAATAAGTTCAAAATTAATGAAGCCGTTGCAACTAGTTGCTACATTCCACATGATGATCGGGCGTGCCATCACACGACCAGCACAACACAACATGAGTCGTTGGTACGTGTTACGAATTGATGTAGCCACATTAGATACACACCTGAACCAAGGGTCGTGTAGTACACCATGACCTTCCACTTGTGAGGCATCTGCAGCGGCCCGCCCATGGTGCTCAGGGCGTGCTCGATCAGCTTGATGAAACCAGGAACCGCGATCTCTTGCATGCACTTTGACGCTGCCAGGTTTCGCTGTGCTGCAGACATCTTGTCTGCCTCCTTGACTGCTAGAGCAGAGTGGACGAGTGGTATCGACTGAAGCATCTTGAGGGCAGGCTGGGTCATGGTCTTGTTGCCGTAGGTGCCGCAGAACTTCCGTAAGGCGAACATGAAGTCCTCCGAGAGATTGATGGGAAGCATGTGCGCCTTCTGTGACTTCGGGAAATCGACCGCCATCGTGATTTGCGGGATGCTGCTGTGTCGAACTCGGAGACCACCGGGGTGTGTGCGTGGCGTGTGTGTGGTGTGGCGTGTGTCTGGCGTGTGTATGTGTGTGGGTGTGAGAGAAGGCGGCTCCGTGCCGCGTGCTTTTTGAAAACGAACCAGAACGCCTCCGAAACTCACAGTCCCAACGAAGATATAT